CATCCAGTAGTGGGATTCAAATAATTTAACGACCGGTTCTCTGCCCTAATGACCGGCTGGATGGGCATGGCCAGGGGATGTGACATGCAGCACTTGGCCTCCTGGGAGTAAAAACGGGCTGTTTTTGGAAGGGGCGGGGAGGGGAAGTGCCAGCCAGCAATTTAACAACTGGTTCACCTGAACCGGCACGAACCGGCTGAATCCCAACACTGATCTCATTCAATGGCCCTGCATACGTCACTCTCCCAGCCTGGCCTCTGATTGCTACAACAGAAGTTAATAAATTAGTAGTGCAGGCTAAAGCATACAAAGCGGTGTAATGCAATTATAATTCCACTGCATTTTTAAAAACAACAACAACAAAAAAAAACTAATATATGGATTTCTGGACTTCAATTTTAACAGTCCTTTTTCCTGCCACTGATTCTTCTCCTGGAATCTCAAAACACTGGTCCTTGTCAATTATTGTTCCTCTTTGTTAAAAGAAAAGAAAAGAAAAAAGGTCTTGCAGAAACCCCGAAGATTATCAACCCACTCATTTCCTAGGTAGAATCAGCAATCTACATTCAAGACATCCTGATTTAAAACTTTTCAGACGTATCGTACGTGGGAATAATCTGGGGAGATAAGAGAAAGAGTTGCAGAGATTGCCAAAGGAATGGGGGCATAGCAAACATCTCAGAAGAGACCAGGGGTGGGCTTCAAAAATTTTAGCAAGGGGTTCTCTGCCCGATTGCTGAGTGGGAGTGGCCATAGTGGACATGACCTAATCAGCCACCTGCACTACAGCAGGGGGGGAGGGCGTTTTTGCCCTCCCCTAGCTCTGGAGGCTTTTCTCGAGCCTCCAGGAGAGTGAAAATGGCCTCCCCAGGCTCCGGAGGCCCTCTGGAGGCCGGAAACCACCCCATTTCCGGCCTTCCTGAACTTCCGGTAGGCCCAATTTTCACCCTCCCCGAGCTTCTATGCACACCCTGCATTTACCTGCATCCAAAACGGACTGCGTGGGGACTCCTGGGAGGGACGGGGTGGGTGGGGCCAGCGAGGAGTGGGATTTGGGGGTTCTCCGAACTGCAAAGTATCTTAGCTAGAGATTCTCCTGAACCCCTGCGAACCCCCAGCAGCCCACCCCTGGAAAAGACCCTCCCTAGTTTCTTATTTTATGCTGATGACAATAATTTTTTCTTTCCCTGGGGTGGGATTATGTATTTAGTCTTTTGCAATGTATTGTAAAGAAGTTTGTCGTTAAATTATTCTAGAACCAAAATTGTGCTCTATTGCAAAACCTAGTTCGACATAAATAGCAGACCTAGCGCCAAGTTATCAAGCAAGTGAGGTAATACAAATATCTCAGGATACACATTTCAGGATTCAAGAACATGAAATTCCTAAACCCCACAAGTCACTGAAAATAGCAAGGGGTTAACATCTGACATTTTTAGTGGTTTTTTTTTTTAAATATTATTTTAATCAAATCTGTGGCCAATGTATATCCTTGGCAGCGTTGATTTCCCAGGGGGAAAACATTTGTTCCATTTCTTCACTGTTCATAGATGTTTGCATTTTCACTTGACAACCGTGTTACTAACTTAATAACTGCAGTGATTCACTTAACAACAGTGGCAAGAAGAAAAGTCGTCAAGGCAAAACTCATTTAACAACTGTCTTGCTTAGCAACAGAAATTTTGGGCTAAACTGTGATTGTAAGTTCAGTACTACCTATATACTAGTCCAGTGGTGGGTTCCTCCCGGTCCCAGCCCGGTTCTGCCGAGCCGGTAGCGGAGACGATATGGGTAGATCATTACAGCTCTGCAAGCAGTTAAAAGCCTGGTAGACCAGTACCTCTGCTAAATCCTAAATAATTTAATAAATCCTAATAAAATATCCAGGAGCCTGGATAGCTCTGCAGACAAAGGCACTGTAATTTAACACCAGCTGTCTGCAATTAAAGTAAGATCGAATCTCGCCAGGCTCAAGGTTGACTCAGCCTTCCATCCTTTCTAAGGTAGGTAAATTGAGGACCCAGTTTGTGGGGGCAATAAGCTGACTTTGTATAAATATACAAAAGTATGAAGGCTATTGCTTAACGCCTTGTAAGCCGCCCTGAGTCTCCGGAGAAGGGCGGCATATAAATCAAATTAAAAAAAAATTTTTTTTTAAATTGTCACATGGCCATCAAGCCACGCCCACAAAATAAGCCACACCCACAAAATAAGCCATGCCCACAGAACCGGAAGTAAAAAAATTTAGAACCCACCTCTGTACTAGCCCCTTTATCTTCTGACTTCCTATTTTTTTAAAAAAAATAGATTAAAAATAAAAGATCTATCTATACAATCTGAAGAGAATCTGCTGTATACATAATGCAAAGTTTCTACTTTTCATCAATAAACTTCCAGTTATGAAGAAAACAAGAATTACCGAAGTGTTACAAGAATATACAATATCATGCCATTAGGAACATAAGCGGGGTTTTTTTCCAGAAGAAAATTATACCACTTGAGATTTTTTTAAAAAACCTTCCTTAAAGTTATTTTTAATTACAATAATTAGCAACAGTTAATATACCAGAAGGAACTGACTACAGAAAAGGAATGCTAGTTCCAGCTTTTTTCCTTGATTAATAAATATTAAAATTAATGAGAGACTTTCAAGACCCTATTGTTAACAAATGTGTAAAGATTCCTGTGAAAGAATTTGTATAGGAGTAAAATGATACACAAGCTGCTACAATTATTCTGAATGCTTTACTCTTTTCAGCCAATTATGAAAATTGTGAAAAGTATTAATATTAATTTTAATTTGCTCTGTAGTGCCATTAACAATAAAAAAAAAGTTTAATTAAGGTATGTATATGAAAAAGAAAAAAGAAAAAGGGGAAATTTGGCTGCAATTTTAGAGAATAATAGAGAACAACTAGATAGTATTTCTTTAAATGCAGGCTGCTTTATTAATTGATATCTTAATTAGACTTTAGTACTAAGATCAAATCATAGTTGGGAATACCTAATTTTTTTAAACATACAGTAAAGTTAAATCGAGGCATAAAGAGAAATAAACTATTCTAAGTAGTTTTATTTAAAACTTGTAATTCATGAAAAGGAAGGTCAGAGACAATGTAATAGATTTAGTGGAAATTTGAAGCATCGTAAAACTTGCAAATTCTATTTTGATAGGGTAAGAAGCAAGAGATCACAATGGCCCTATTATGAAATTACCGCTTCTTCAGCAGAGATCTTTTGAAGTGAACATATTTCAATTTTACATACAACATATTTACATACATTAAACAACTGACAAATTTTAAACCATTAATTCTCATTCCGGGCATCAAAGCCTGAACCCCACTCCTCACTATACATTGATGAAAACATGACTTTATCGGATTGCTATATTAATTTACTAAGCATTAGGGGTGAAATCCAGCAGGTTCTGACAGGTTCTGGAGAACCGGTAGAGGAAATTTTGAGTAGTTCGGAGAACCGGCAAATACTACCTCTGGCTGGCCCCAGACTGGGGTGGGAATGGAGATTTTGCAATATCCTTCCCCTAGGAGAGGGGAGGGAATGGGGATTTTGCAGTATACTTCCCCTGGAGTGGGGAGGGAATGGGGATTTTGCAGTATACTTCCCCTAAAGTGGGGAGGGAATGGGGATTTTGCAGTATCCTTCCCCTGGAATCGGGTGGGAATGGAGATTTTGCAGTATCCTTCCCCTGCCATGCCCACCAAGCCACACCCACCAAGCCACACCACACCCACCAAGCCACGCCCACAGAACCGGTAGTAAAAAAAATTGGATTTCACCACTGCTAAGCATATTTATAAGACGAACAAACTATGCGTTCATTATACTATAATATATTATAATCTATAATATTATCAAAATGTGAAGAGAATGAGACCTTATTGTTCCCATGAGCATATATACTTCCATTGAGAAAAACTGCATGCAAACATACGCAGAACACATAATAAGTTATACAGTACCTGAAATTTTAATGGAATGCCTTTATGCCTTAAATATATGTTGATCAGCTGAGAAGCTAGCAATATGTTACCCAAAGGATATCCCTATGTATACCCCAGCATTATATAAATCAGCGGTGAAATCCTCTGAAGTCTGCTACCGGTTCTGTGAGTCTGCTGCCTGCACAGCGCTACAAAAGGAACATTTTGAAGCCTTCTGAGTTTGCAAAGGTAAGTAGAACAGTGAGGGGTTCTACAGTGAAGGGGGGAATCCGCTGTACCACACGATTTAGATTAGTTAGAAAGCTGGAAATCTGATGATTTTAGCTAATATTAATTGCACATCACAGCTTATCATGCATCACAGCTGATCATCAGAAATACTGGTTCGCCCAAACCGATAGCATTTTTTACTACCATTTTGCCCGAACCGGTCCGAACTGGTAGCATTTCACCCTGATATACATACATATAGTACGTTTTAATTTGCATGCTTAATCGGGTGAACTGGTAGCAGCAGCGGTGGGAGGTTCCACCCACCCGCACGTCATCAAATACGCTCTGCGCATGTACAGAAGTGGAGAAATTGAAAGTGGGTCCCCCCCCCCCCCCCCCCCGCCCCGATACATCAAGTATCAAGGCAGCAGCACAGAAATCCTCAAAGTCTGTTTCTTCAAGTGCTAAAGCGGAGTATAGGATTGTGTAGAATATAAACACTCAGCTGCCATTAACAAGCAAAGACTGAAAATGAAAGTCAGAAAATTATGCTGTACGAAGGTAGAACAGATGGCAGTTCATCTGAACCAGGAGGAATCCTAACTGCTCAGAGGCGTCAAATGTTTTGTAAGGACTGTTCTTGAGTTACAGTAATAATTTAGTCAAGCTGTGTCTGACAAGAAGAGCCTGACACTTTGAACCAAAGGAATCACTCATGTGAGAGGGATTAAAATGCGGAGTAGAAAAACAGCCATTAATCTCACAAAATATGTAATAAACATATCAAGAAAGTTAGTATCAAATATTCACGGTACTCACGCTGATGTCAGTCACAGCCCAATGTCTCCAGAACTGATAGATTGGATTAGATCTGCTAGGAGCATCTGGATCGACCATGATGAGAATATACTTTTTATTCTGTAAAATAATATATGAAAATCGGTCTTAAGAATTTTGTCAGTCAGCAGGTGAATAGAGTAGAGTAGAGTAGAGTAGAGTAGAGTAGAGTAGAGTAGAGTAGAG